GTGTGTGTGTGTGAGTGCATCCAAGAGACGGGGGACCCCCGAGCGGGACCCAAACGCTTCAGACGACTCCGGCTCGTCTCTGTGGAGCGCTGCGGTGTCCCAGCATGCAGTGCGGCGGCGCGGCTCACCCGGCGATCTTGTTGCGCAGCTTCTTGCTGGGGATGATGGCGATCTCCTCGCACACGCGCTTGTTGGTGTGGAAGTCGTTGCCCAGCCGGGTGTAGTACTTCTCGATGATGACCCGAGCGGCCTTCTTCACCGTCTTGGTCCTGACGCGGCCCTGCGGACACACACAGCCCATAAACACACGATACCCACCCCGGTCACACACACACACACCACACACCACACACACACACACACACACACACTCACACACACACACCATATACACTCACACTCACACACACACACCATATACACTCACACTCACACACACACCATATACACTCACACTCACACACACACCATATACACTCACTCACTCACACACACACCATATACACTCATTCTCACACACACACACACACACCATATACACTCACACACACACACACACACACACACACACACACCATATACACTCACACACACACCAGTGGCAGAGCCAGAGCAAGCCCCGCTCACACCAGTAACACTTATTACAATCGATCTCAATATAGCAGAACTATAACGATAAAGTCGCACGATCTTGTTTAGCTGATGAACGACACACACACGGACAGCCAATCAGAATCCCCGCTGCGGTCACGTGCTGCAGGATTTAAAGCGACAGAGCACCCAGCCGAGACCGTTCTGGTGTGGACCGGGCTTTAATGCTACTGTCTGCTAGCTGCGGTGCATTGTGGGCCGAGCACAAGCGCTCTACAGCCCTCAGTATCTGATCAGGTGTATCGATTACCGCGCGTTACTGTGAAACACACTCGGTGTGGCTGTATTGCTGTGAGCGGAGCGTCATACTCACACACACGCGCGCCACACAAACCCCGCGGCACACTCCTGTGTCTGCGTTCGTGACCCGAGCGGAGAAAGAGCAGGATTACAGCAGATTATCACGAGCCAACTATCGGATACCCACCATGATGATCCGGAGAGCGGAAGAGAAAGAAAGAGAGCCCGACCGGAAGTCGATCCGACAGAGCCGCGCGAACGCCGCGCACTGACCCCCAGCGGCGGAGGAGCGAAACTGCAGCTGCTGCTTCCGGTTATATAGAGCTCCGCAGCTGCACTGATACCACAGTAAACACACACAGTAATCACACACAGTAATCACAGTAAACACACACAGTAATCACAGTAAACAAACACACACACAGTAAACACAGTAAACACACACACAGTAAACACAGTAAACACACACACAGTAAACACAGTAAACACACACACAGTAAACACAGTAAACACACACACAGTAAACACAGTAAACACACACACAGTAAACACAGTAAACACACACACAGTAAACACAGTAAACACACACACAGTAAACACACACAGTAAACACACACAGTAAACACACACAGTAAACACACACAGTAAACACACACAGTAAACACACACAGTAAACACACACAGTAAACACACACAGTAAAGGATTACAGCAGATTATCACGAGCCAACTATCGGATACCCACCATGATGATCCGGAGAGCGGAAGAGAAAGAAAGAGAGCCCGACCGGAAGTCGATCCGACAGAGCCGCGCGAGCGCCGCGCACTGACCCCCAGCGGCGGAGGAGCGACACTGCAGCTGCTGCTTCCGGTTATATAGAGCTCCGCAGCTGCACTGATACCGCAGTAAACACAGTAAACACACACACAGTAAACACAGTAAACACACACAGTAAACACACACAGTAAACACACACACAGTAAACACACAGTAAACACACACACAGTAATCACACACACAGTAAACACAGTAATCACACACAGTAAACACAGTAAACACACACAGTAAA